TTTTTGGTCTGTGACTTCAGAGCACAAACTCTACAATTTATGGTTTTAACCACGAGTTTCTACATGTGGTCAGAGGTTTACAAACACTCATCACAGGCATTCATTTTTCATTTTTCATCGAATTTCTTTGAATGGTTGTTTTTCCAGCGATTGTACAACATCCATCTTTAACGACTTAAAAAACAAAGAATTGCTTGCAAAGGTTTTTCAGTATAGTTGTGTACTCACAGTGTGCAGTGACAGCTATGATGGAGATCAGCAGGACGGCGCACAGCGTTGCCAGGCAGATGGTGGCGAGGCGGTACAGCCTGGGACCGCTCGGCCTGGGGAACATTTGCATCACAGGATGACCTGCAGGTGACGGGAAGAGAAAGACGGTTTATTAAAAGTTATTTTCACATATATGGATGATAGTTTCAGTTGATTCTGCAAGATTTAAAATAATCTTTAAACAGGAATTTATAGTAAGTACCTTTAAGAAAAAAAAAATTTTTTTTGTTCTGCATCACTGACAACAGTGACCTTTTTTTAACCTGACATATAAATGTATTCACACTTTTTGATGACTAAGTAGTGCGTGCAGTGGAGCGCTTTGTCCACAGTGGACTCTGATCTGCTCAGACTTGTAAATGTCAAACATGCTGGAACGCATTCAGGGCGATGCGTTTGACATTTTTAATTATCTAACAAAGCATGATGCAGGTAGGAATTTATTATTTGTTTTTGGGTAAGTGAAAGACTTACAACTAATGTATATTCATCTATCTGAAAATGATAAATGTTAGTAAATAATAGATTTTAAACGTTCTACTTCATTATTAATCAAAGATCACTTTTATATTAAAAATTCAGGATGGAAGAATAAAAGCATTATGTCACCAGACAAAAACACCATGTTCATAATATAAAAACACAAAAGCAAACAAAACCATCACAAAGGGCCTTAATATGCACACAAAAACTCATCTGAAAAAAAGGAAATCCACAAACTGAATTGAAAACAAACAAACAAATAAACATGAGAGCTTTGATCGGACCCTTTGACACACTGTCTGTCTGTTAGTGACTGAGCTTAGCCTGCTGCTGCCATGGCTGCATTTTGAACTCATAATCAGTTTCTGCATATTATTTAATTATCAATTAATTAATTCAATAAATAAATAAAACTATATTTTGGCTTCACAGTGTTAGTCTTTTATTCTTATTGCAGACTGACTCCAGTGTGTATAAAAGTTGGATTTAGTGTGTAAAAGAGGTTCAAAGAAAACCACTAATGTTCCCACAGAAAGAGGAAGGAGGAGGCTCCGAGTATAAAACCGTATACAAGATTGAATTCACGTTTACACCATCATGTCTGTCTGTTATGTAACACAGGAGTTTGTGACTTTGTAAAGCACTTTGATAATATATCTAAAATGGTTTCTGTTGATAGATATTTTTTTCTTTATCTTTTTATTATCCTTATAACATGTAAGTAAACAATTACCAGTGAAAGCCTGCAGAACTATGAAAATTAAATGACCGATACGAGAAAAACAGCACTTTCGTGTGAGAAGCTGCAAAGTGAATCCTGAAGATAAACAAAAGTTAAGGTAACAAATCTCCATTTGTTGTCTCCATGGTGATAACGCACCGTGTCTACAGTAACGGGACAAAGTCAGTTGTTTTAAAGCAAAGATAAACAAAACCGTCTGCATTCCCCCACAGAGGCACAGCTGCAGGGTTAAAGTTTAACTGCTTACCGCGGTGTTCCACATCTGGCCTGTGGGGTAAGTCGTCATGACAGGACTCGTTGTCTATTAGTTGGGAGTACATGCCCTCACAGTTCAGGGAGCTCCCGGTGGTCGACATTTCACCGCTGGAAGACAAACAGAAGGAAAGAAAACTAAAGTTGTTGGTGGAGAGAGAGGCTCTGAGTGAATGCTCCACCACAGCTGTGATTATAAACAGCTGGGGTTAAACCAATGACTGTAGAGATGACTGTTTTCTACAATCGTCGAGGGGGGTGGGGTTCCGGTTATAACTTTCAAAATAAGACTTTTGCGTGCTATGAAAATCCTTAAAAAGACGACAAAGAGACCCCCAAACCCCCACAAAACAAAAAATAATAATTATAATAACTACAAAAACCAAAAATTACAGAGGAACTAAAAAAAAAAAACCCTGCCCAAAATAACCAGCAAACAGCCTGATAATAAAGCAACAATATGTACACAAAAACTACTGAGCACAAAACACCCAAAATTACCACGCAAACAATAATGGCCAGTCAGAGGTTAAAAAACATGTAAACAAACAATTAAGTCCAGGAAACAAGAAGTGAAATAACTGAGAAAGACTCAAAAACAAATGTTCTTTAAATGAACCAAATAAACACTATAAAGTCAAGAATAGAGTCACGACTACATTTGGGTGTCACCCACCTGGTTGTTCACCAAACCCTATTATGGCCTTCACGCTCTTATTTTACAGCAAAAGAATGTTAAGCATTAAATTTGCTGACTTTTCTTAAAGTGGCCTAAAATACAGACTCAAAAAGGGCATCTGGTATAAATCCAAACCAAATGTGCTGGAAGCTCAGACGACCTTTCAAAATAGTCGTTTGTCTTCACAATACTGTTTTATAAAAAAAGAAAAAGAAAAAAGGAGCACATCTATATATGTTTTCAAACTAAAAGAACCAAAAACATTTTTAATTCAAAGCCTAAACTTCACTTTCCATTAAAACGCAGTCTTTTTATGTAAAACGAAACATATTTGTCCTCCTGTGTTCCCATAGTTTACATTTTCTCGGGTGTAAAAATAATATAATTCTAACAATATTGGAGGAATTTTATTTTTAAGGAACCATTTGCATGCTATAGCGGATTTTTACGTGACATTTATATGTGCCAACAGGTGTTTTCTAATAGTGATGTGTCGGTCGCGAACGAAACGGCTCTTAGAGCCGACTCTTTGAAGTGAAGGACGCAAGCTGTGCCTTTTATTTCTCTCACCCTCTCTTGCACTTTTTTTTTTCGCTTCACTTCGCACTTGTGCTTTGCGCTGAGCAGATTATACCGCCCCTCCCCCATCTGCAACTGTAACTATATATGTAACTATAGTTACACTTGCAGTTGCACAGGAACAGAGCACTCTCAGAAAACTCTCTCCCAAATAATCATCCCAGGCCTATATGACAGAGAATGTGCATC